CACGCTACACTATGTCCCATGGTCACTGTTCCAAGGGCAGATGGACAGGGTTCAAGTGGAACTGTGTCGAGTCAAGTTCAACCGATAGATCCTTCACTGTGTGATGGATTAACCAACCATGTAGTACCCGTCGCCTAGTGTCTGAAGATATACGGCAACCGTACTAGTATGTCACTTCCTTTGCCCCACATAATCCAACAACATGTTCAGAACAAACCATAACGTCAGTTCCGGATCCACTGAAGTACCAAAGATAGCGGCCAGGGGAAATCAACATCGAACCTGTTCTTTTGCAAATGCACCCTTCTTTAGATATGCTGTCTATCTGAGATATGAACCAGATTTCGCGAACCCGCAGACAAACGGCACCGTGTTGATGAGAGACGGTAGCGGGAAATCCCGCCGTGCCTATTGAGGATGAGCATCAAGCCGACGCGGTAAAGCTGCTATCAATATTTGAAGGGACGCCAGGACGCGCGTAATCCGCCCTGTTCGTAAGGCGGACAGCGACCCGGCGCTGAGCCACCGTACAGTAACCGAATTGGATTTGTGTGACCCCTGATTTCGTAATTGGAATATGACGCAAGGCATAGAAGTACTAGTCCGAAAACGCAAGAATCGTTCTATTTCCATAAAATTCATTGAGCGACCTGTCAAATCTTTTGTCGATAAATGAATTCAGCGGTCGCAGCTTCTGGAAGAAAGGGACTATTATCCCCTTCTGACGTTTCCGTACGGGAGGACTGAAAAATGGATGACCCTGGCCGACTTGGGCTGACCTGGCGCGCTCAGGTATCTGTTTGAAATGCGAAACCGCGGATCAAGGGCGCAGTCGTCACACGGGTCCGTGTAATCAAAGCTGGCACCCGTACCCACGGCAGGCGAACTCCGCATGAAGAAAATCACCCCAGTTCTGAGAACATATTTCGCTCGCGTGTCCCAGCTGCGGAGGTCAACTATAACATAATGTGTGATGGAAGGATTCAATATCGCGCCAATTACCCACCGTGCACCTGGCCCGGAGGTCAGAGGTGTTTACAATCCAGGCATGTTCATTTCCGGGATGGTTCCCGGCGTGCGCTGGTGCAGAAGTGGGAATCTGTAGGTATTTGAAGATTTTCAGAATTTGTAATTGATTTCATTATTGATTAGTTCTTAAAACGAGAATCAGTATATGTAAAATTGAAGTAACAGGGAAAGAAAACCCTGCACAGAAGCCAAGGGAAGACACCCTTGCACAGAAGTCATTGGGAGTAAACCCTAGCATACAACTCACGGGGATATGAAACACACCGGTTAAAAAGTCCCAGAGTGTTAAGTAACTGCTAGCCAAAAATCTAACGGTAATGCTCTTGTGTCATTGTGTAACTGTACATTGTAAAAAAAAAGAAGTGGAACATCATGGCGTGCCGAGATAAGGATGAACGTGTTTGTTGTCTCCGTGACCGGGGAAGACTTTCCACTCGGCGTGTGTGTTTCTGAAATAAATGATCAGTGTAGTCATGTCCTTGCTAAATAGATTGAAACTAACTAAAAGTTTCACTGTCTAAATATCCACACAAGCCTGTGAACATGTCTGCCCTTGGTGCTGACGTTCTTCCATACAAAATGAATACACAAACATGTAAACATGTCTGTCCTTGGTGCTGACGTTCTTCCATACAAAATGAATACACAAACATGTAAACATGCCTGTCCTTGGTGCTGACGTTCTTCCATACAAAATGAATACACAAACATGTAAACATGCCTGTCCTTGGTGCTGACGTTCTTCCATACAAAATGAATACACAAACATGTAAACATGCCTGTCCTTGGTGCTGACGCTCTTCCATACAAAATGAATACACAAACATGTAAATATTTCTGTCCTTGGTGCTGACGCTCTTCCATACAAATTGAACACACAAACATGTAAATATGCCTGTCCTTGGTGCTGACGTTCTTCAATACAAAATGAATACACAAACATGTAAACATGCCTGTCCTTGGTGCTGACGTTCTTCCATACAAAATGAATACACAAACATGTAAACATGCCTGTCCTTGGTGCTGACGTTCTTCTATACAAAATGAATACACAAACATGCCTGTCCTTGGTGCTGACGTTCTTCCATACAAAATGAATACACAAACATGTAAACATGTCTGTCCTTGGTGCTGATGTCCTCCTGCACAAAGTTAAACACATAAGTTAGGAGTACCGGAACTCAAGTGACGGTTGTTGTGTATTCCAAGTAATTCTCAACCTTAGGAATATTCCCCGAGCGTTCGCCTAACATTCATTTTTCTCCTTGCTTGACAGTTTGCTCACGAACCATCTATCAATCAATTCTCCCATCCCGGTGTGCTCAGGGTCAGGGGCCAAACACGTTTAACGCGAGATGTGGTGGCGTCCGGGGCAGTTAGTATGCAGCCGCACGCCGCGCGAGGAATAAACAGTCGGGACACTCTATAAAATCACTCCGTAATCCACAGCCAAAACTCCATAGCACGCGCAGAGCGCTCCGCTGGCGACGTCAAATGCACGAGTTTGCGTTAGGCGAGCGGCTCGCGGTGAGCCGTGGCGGCCCCAGGCGGCAGCAGGGCGCAGTTTACAGGGTCTGGGTGGATATAAGGGACGCTAGGCTGGGGTCCATGAAACGCAAACACTCTCTTTCCACTATAGGTTGCGACCGCTGTGTGACCGCTGAGAGACCAAAGCTTTGACAGGTCGCTCGAAGAATTTCATAGACAAAGAACTGATTGTTTTATGTTTTGTTGTCCCGTAAATCAGACTTTTAAATCTTCCGCCATATTTCAATTATAAAATCAACAGTCACAAACCGTACTCGCTGTACGGTCACTTAGAGATCGCTGTCCAGTGGCATCGGTCATTCTAGATTTCGGACAGACATTCAGGCGCTGCTGGACATTTAAAATCTGATTCGATGCAAGGCCAGTTATCTCAACTTCTTGCTAAACCTGCGTTACAGTGTCCCGCCAATTGAAAGAGCAAACATCATATTATATATAGTCATCATTGCACATTCTGAAATTGTCGTCTGTCAGGTGTTCCAATGATATATAGACCGTTTAATGCAATGATGTTTCAATGAACTCGATGATCTTGTGGTTTTTTAGTGACCTCAATGACGTATTATATATGGTCACTCATGAGTGCCCAGCGGTCTCCGTTCTTTGGAAATGGGACATGGAGAAAACAGAAGCTATCAGAACACGGCAGGTATTGATCAGCAGAAAAACTCTACATAATCACAAAGGTGTCAACATGAAAGCGCAGCCCGAAGCCTGCTATGAACGCTGCTAGTTTCCTCCTTATCTCCACTCTAACAGGTGTTTCTCCCGTAAACTTGCCGAAATCTCTCCCCGTCTATCAAGCCGAAAGACCGGCATTCAGCGGTTCGCTCATGCGGCTCGGCTGATGATGGAAATTCCGGCTGGCGCCTCCTCACTTCCTACCGATTAATCAAAGCCGACACCGCGCCTCTCCCCCTGCTTCCCACTCGGCTGATCGACCACTCATAATTTTCCCTTGAAGTTCACGATGGTTCTTCGCTCCGCTTGGATGACGCCCCTTAACGGCTTTATTGACCCCTTATCGGCGACTCCAGGCGACGCCGCCGTTTTGCAGCCTTCCGGCAATCTGCGCTAAACGACCTGCAAGCGTTTATCACGGAGACGGTTTGTTATCGTCTCACTCAGGCTTATCTGGAGCGGCTCGTGCGTCGTGACGTCACGCTACAATAAACTGTCGGTGATGTATACATTCCGTCTGACGCCTCCTTACCTGGAAGCACGGGGCGTCTCACCGAAGGGTTGTACCACACACGTGCGGCGAGCAAACTGGGATTCGAGAACACTAGTGCACTGGCTCCTACACCGGGTTTCGAACTCCTAACCTTGTGGAAACACGATGTTTCTAAGCGCTAGACCAATAACGGCGCATTTATTAATGTTAACCCTATAAACGTCTCTAGTAGCGTGTTCTCGCAGTAACATGTATAGTGAAACTAGTGATGTGTGGTCACGGCATGTAATCCACGATCATTATGGCGTTTAAGTCTCCTTCTGACTGCTGCAAACAACGCGTACCCGAGAAATTCACCTGAAACGCCGCAAAGAATGATGTACACGATTGGCCCATCCACGCATCTGCTTGGAGATCTATCCTCGTACAGCCCTCCATGGGCGCTAAAAATCGTACATCAATTCCTGATGTTCCACGAGGGTACGTGAAGTGTAAGTATGGATTGACCCTGAGCTTAAAGGACTACTCTCTGCTATACCGCACCGATTTACAGATCGATGCAAACGCGCTGTGTTAGGCGTGGCCACATTCATCGTACTCTTTTGTGTCAGTATCGACAAAGGTCCAAACCAACCTTTTCCGTCACAAGAAAAACTGAATCTATTTTTACAACGAATCCATGACGTCTAAATAAAGCATATCCCAAACTTGTTTTGACATAGATGCATCGTTTGCCGCCTGTAACTGAGCACAAATACTTATTAAAAAGATCCTCCTCCACGCGAATTTCTCCTTTCCGACTTGACCTCCTCTTTTTATCTGGGATGTCAATAAACTTGATTTCATTTAGCACAACTGAAAAGGGGATACCGGAAATAAATAAAACTTTGAAACACAGATCAACAGGTCCGTCACCTGAGACTAGACTGAAGTGCCACCTGGCGAGTTGAACATAATACGCAACATTGGATAGAGATACAGTTTAGACTAAAACTCGTTAAAAACTAGACAGGCCGACATTTTCTTGGGAGCAAATACAGCATATTTCAGTCCGTCTTCCTCCCTATACTATTTATGGAGTGAAATATAACAATATGTTTCCTCCATACCATGGCATGGACCAAACTATGAACATACACATGTACTGAACATTAAATCTTGGTGTAAAAAGATGCCACCTTATTTGCGAGATAAGGCACTAATGCTAGGCTGAGTAGATGATGAATGAACAAATACCAAGGAAGCCAAATGCAGAATAATGAGAGTTTTTAATAATTTTCACCTATAGTAATCCAAACTTGCAATTGGACAGACAGAAACACACGGGAATAGATAATAAAAACCTGAAAGATAATATACAAATATTTACAGGTCCAAATTACATTAATGACAGTATTTACACACAGATACTAGATATGTTGGTTCTGTCAAAATTCTGGCCATTGTCCATCCATTCGTACTGATGTGCACAGGTGGTTCTTCTCAACTGTTGGATGAAAATTAGGCTCTAGCATTGTCAATGTCAGTGCTGTAGTTAATTTGGCATTGCTACATTGTGAAGTGATACAAGTCACAGAGAGCAGTGTCTTTAGAGAAGATAGGGGAAGCAGAGATGACCTGCCAAAGGCAAAGGTTCCTAATGAGAAACAGCATGAAGTGCTGCATGTTTCCTCAGCAGAGGACCAGGATGGCAGCAGACTTGTGGAATGTGGAGTGCAGGTCAGCAGGTCACATACCGATGGAGACTGGAGAAGCCAGTCAAAGATTTGTATGGTCAGTGAACTCTTAGTGTTGGATCAACACTATAAAATTTTCTTCTACTATGTTTCCCTGTAGTGTTTGTACAATGACAGCCCTATGTTCTGACACCAACATTAAGGTTGAGTTGTGGGAACATTGGGGTGTCACTGTTAGTATTGCTCATCAGACACAGGTTTGTTCATGTCCCTCTGCATGTTGGACTTGTCCTTGAGCTTGGCCTGGTTGAGGGTGTGTTCCACCACGCCCATGCGGATATCCATCTGGGTCATTTCCGTCTTCAGCCGGGTCAGCGCCTGTTTGATCTTCACTAGCGGTGCTGCGGGAGGGGGGCAGGGATTCTGTTATACATTCCTTACGTGTGAGATATAGATTATGTTTTCACTTGAATTTGTCTGCTAACAGTGGCATTCCTAACAGCATAGGTGAATTATGCTATTTTTCTTTAGAATGCAAACAAATGGAGGCAAAGTTGGCAACAAATCGTGACTAATCGGGCCATGACTAAGTCTCTCCAGGCTGGTTTGTATGTACCTGAGGCCCCCTGAAAAGGAGTGCTTATACTGTGAGAGCTACATGTACCCTGGTTACAGACATGACTACATGAAGAGATAGAGAAGACATCAGTACTTACTTCCATCTGTCATGCTGGTCCCTCTCTCCTCCATCTCAGACTTCACCTGTTCCAGCTCCTCTGTGATCTGGGTGGTAAAGCATATCCATATTTCAGATTCAGATCTAATTTCACCAATTCAATTTATATGTCCTACAAAAACCAACCTAAATATGGCAGACAGCATTCACTGCTATGTCACCTTCTTCATTGATCATAAGAGAACACAAAGAGGGGTAACAAAGTTAATATTGTGTGAATGAATACACTCTATAACAGTTAATCCACCCCCTCACCAGTGCTAGTTCCCTGGTCCTTTCTGTCACTCCTCCACTGCCTTCTCTGTACTTCTCCTTAGCCTGCAAAAACACAACATTCACATTAAAACACATACACAATGGGTAAACTATAGACAAGACTTACACTATCGTCAATATGCTACCATGTTGACTACAGGTAAACCTTTGCCCTGGCTTCAAACTCCAGCTGGAAACTATCCTTCTAACCAGTGACATACAGTATTAATTTGACCTGTAACCTGCCCCCCTCACTTGTGACCCTGCCCCTGACCTCTGACCTGTGCCAGCTGGTCCTGCATGGCCCTGAACTCCTGCAGGAAGCTCTCCAGCTGGTTGTTGATGTACTTCTCTCTGGAGCCGATCTTCTCCAGCGTGCGTGTGATCTCCTGGTGCAGCTTGTCCAGGTGACCCCTCGTCTCTGTCAGACTGTGCTCGATCCCATCTCGATGCTGCAACATCTGCTCAAAGTGGGCTCTCCAGTCCTGGGGGGAGGGAGGGGTGGGAGAGAGGTGTCACATACTGTTTGCACATCTAACCTGTTTTAACACTATATCCTTCCTTCTCCAGGTTGATCCCCTTTTTGCAACACAAGACTGACATTGGGCTTTGACTGGGACCCGACTGACGAAATACAGTGCAGCAACAAACCACGTTGCCATTCAGACAGACCCTACCTTACCGTGACCTGTATGACCTTCAACTCCCAGGTCACGTGACAACCTTCTCAGAGCTGAACAAAGATGGCAGATACCATTGGAAAGCTTCTCTACAAGCTTAACTTAAATTGTGTGCAACAGTTTAGTGCTTTAATGAATCCTACCTTGTTGTCAGCCTTGATGTGGACCTTCAGGGACGGCAGAACTCGCTCCACCTCCAGTTTCCACTCAGCAGCATCTGTGGTGGACTCCATGATCTCCACAGGTTTAGAACCCTCCGACTCCTGGGGAACAACACACCACAGTGTGTTTATTGGTTTGTTTGCTTGCTAGCAGCTTTATTTCCCATTTGGAATTTTCGAAAGAAAAAACCAAATGTTCAAACATATAATTCACTGAAATAGAACTAGGGCAGAAATATGGCTGTAGATGTACCAACAAGGTCATGCGAATACCATCTATACATAACCTACAGAAGAAATAGTACTCACATTTTTCATGGACTGCTTTTTCAGCCCTTCTAAATCCAGGAACGTCTCTTCCTCCTCAATCTCATCATCATCATCCTGAGCAAGAAAATCAGTCATTACAAAGAGGCCAACATTTGCCAGCAAATTCTGAGTAGCTTCCTCCCCATCTTTTCCCAGTGTGTTGTCCCCAATGCATTGGTATGTAAATAGCTGAAAGGTAGTTGAGTTACCTTGCCCTTATTTCAATGAAACTTTCTGCATCAGTGACTGTCACCTCATGAAACAGTCCTTCCACACAGTTTGACACAGAAATTAAACAGCTTTGAACACTGGGAGACATGCTGAGCTGAAGTGCTCAGTGTAACATAATTATAACTAGTCACCACCATGCACCTGCAAACCTGGTGTTTTACACAATATAAATGATGGCTTACAAATTCACATGCAGAATTAACCAAATGATGATGAAGCTGGTTTTCATATTTGTATAGTGTTTCTTTGAATGTACTTTGTGACTTTGTGCACCAAAAAAGAAATGTATCAAAACTGATATTGAATTGTATATTCAAGACATTCACAATTCACAATTTAGAAAATCATACTTGTAATTTGAATCTGTTTGGTTGTTTTGTCTTCAATATACTGAACTGTCAGCAAAGCAGTGCTGAATAGGGATGTAAGGTTGCCCCTAACATAACTATGACTCATCAACTTGATTTTATGAATGACATCCTCATGACATCATTCATAAGATGAAGTTTCTGTGGCCTAAAGTTTACTTGCCACCCATGCTGCATGCAAGCAGGCTACTACTTTGCAATTTGTTTGGATTTACCTTTGGAGTCTCCACCTTTGTTATTACATGATGCATGAGAAAAGTGAGAAATCTATCATGAGATGAACAAGATGATATCAGTTTCCTCCCTGACACATGACATGACTATGGAAGTGAAAATCATTTAGGTACAGGTCCCTTACATTGGAACATCAATTTATCAGCACTGTACCTGAATAGACTTACACTGTTGTGTATAGTATGTGAATGAAAACAAGGAAGAACAGGAGCGTTCTATCATGTCAGCATCCTGATGACATGAACATGAACCCTCCTACAGACGTTACTCACCAGCATCATCTCATCTTCCACCTTGTTCAGTGTGAGTTCAGCATCATCATCCACCATGGTTTCCTCCTCCATCTCCTCCTCTGGGTAAACAGGTCTGACACAAACAAACAAATATAAACATCAAGCACAAACAAGAGTGGAGTTATAAAATCTCCCACTGGATATTTGGCTATGGCAAACAAGCAAATACAAACAAGAGACACAAACAAGAACGGAGTCAGAAAAACTCCAATCTGCATACATGGCTCAGACATTTTCACCCAACACAGATGACGACATCTTTTTGAATCTTTAACCAAACCTATTGCCAGTACGGCTGACTTTTGCCAAATTTTGCCTCTGATAACCATCTGGATAAAGCTTGAGCTTTAAACATTTTCCATGCAAGAATATGTTGAAAACTCTGCCCTACTCACTTTTCCCAGGCAAATCCAGTCGACGTCATGGCCTCATCAGCAAGCTTGTCCAGAACGTACACGGCATGTTCCCCGCAGCCCTGCTTCAGCTTGGAGGGCGGGAAGTCAACAGCACCTCCCTGGGGTGAGGAGGGAACACAGGATTAAATGGTAGAATTCTCAACAGGTGATGAGCAAAGATTTCAAAAACAATGTTGTATGAAAAGCCTGGACTGCACAGTCTCATCTATTGCATACTTACCAATCTTCTGACTTCATCCAGGATGTTGGATATTGTTGCGTTGGGGTCGTCGTACTCCTGTGGTTGGTCAAAGTGTTTCCCACCCTTGGTGATGAGCCAGGCACATAGGGACGTGAAGGCATAGAACTGTTCACCAGGGTTGGTGGGGATCGCAAAGTAATGTCTGCAAGGAGAATTGTTTGTCTCGCATAACTGGTAAATTGCCTTAAGGCCTAGCACACCACTATCATAAAAAACTTCAGCTAGCATGTCCATGCTGATTCCGGCTCCTACTTTTCTATGACATAACCTGTAGTTTTTAGGCTATATTTATGTCACATGTTTCTACATAACGGTGCATAAGACATTAAAAGTGAGTCAGGGACGAGTTGTTAAAAGTGTCCATATCCCCACCACATACCTGGGGAGTGGTTTGAAGCCCCAGCCTTTGATGAACCCGTCCTCATACTGCAGCAGCTTGAGTTTGTCCACCAGATCCTCCATCACCACGAAGACCTGGTACGCCTGGCCCGGCCCCTTCTCCGCGCCCTCATCCGCACCGCGACGGCCTTCTTCTGACATCTTCCAGCCCCTTCCAATCTCAAAATACTATTAAATATCCTAAATAATCTTTTATAAAGGCAAAGAGCTGGGCAAACTCAGCACACTTTGTGTTGCCAGGGACGCTTGAATGAAGGGGGGGGGGTCACAGACCAGAGCACAACCTCAACTGCAACTGTCAGCTTCACTACGGCGTAAAATAGCTGAATAACCTCTTGTCACCCACTGAGGAGCTCTTGTCCTTGAGGAAATTCTCAAATGCTGAGAGCACGACAAATTTGGTATTTCAGTTTTCCTTTAGAATAAGGAAAGAAGCCTGGACACTTTCAACTTTTTTGCGCTTCCGAAGTATGTGCAGAACCCGGATGTTGACGCGCAAGGCCTGACGGGTACCCTGAAGACGGAACATTCCATTGATCAGGAGGGGTGCCATTGTGGTTGCAGGGTTGCAGGGCGAGTCCAATGTGCTTTTCACCTTGATTAAGATCACTGCATTTGACAATACAATGACCAAACCATGGCCATTCTTACATTTATTTTACCGATCTTTTACTTAATTGTACTTGTTGCGGTCTCAATGGATCATGAATGTCGCTTGACGTGAACAGTACAAAATTTTTTTCAAAAACATGAATCCGTCAAGTGACGTTCGTATGTCCCAGGCGTGTCAAATTTATTATTTGCTGTATCATGCTGAGTACATTTGCCCAAGTATCCAACACGTTGTCACTTACAAGTGCTCAGTACTGCTGAGTCATATCAAGTGAATAGAAAGGTGTCAAAGGTTACCCGACAGGCCGCACCTGAATAGCGTCCACCGTACCGCCCACAGCCTGCGACGCGATAAGGTATCACTAGGGAAACACTACAGGTGAGAATCGGTCTGTCTTCAACCTCCTCTGAGTCAAAGGTGGGTTATAAAGGTGTTAAATATTTCTTACTTTATCGGCAAAAGTTGTTAGGTCATTCATGGGTCTAGGATATCCGATAGTGCCTGTATTCGGCGACAGACAAACAGAAGGGAATCCGATCTTTACTGATATTCATATGTAACCTCGCTGACCTGGGTTGACCTGGTAGTAAAATTTGGCCAACTAGGGAGAACAATTGACCAGGAGAGCTTGGTCAATTTCTACTATTGTCCAACACTGACCCGGTCTGGTAGAGACCAGCTTAGACCCGGATAGGCCCGGGTTGACACAAGCTTTTACCTGGTTAATGCAGCAGGGCTCGGTTGTGCAACGTTCATAAGTTACCTGTGCAACTACAAGCCCAATCATGGGTCACTCGGTCGCACCAATAATATATATATAACCTCCTTGGTCTCCCGAACCTAACATCTGCTTGAAGATCAGTAACCCCTATAAACACGAGCTCTGATTTATGTGTGGTTGTGCCAGGATCACTGTTAAGTGGCGTGAACCCCTTTTTGGCGACGCCTCAAGGTGCTGGTACTAAGCAGACGCATGTAGCTATAGGATGGTGTCGACACGTGATCGATAGCCAACGCCAATGAGACGCACTGTGTAGTAATCGCCTCTCCAAACATCTGTATAATGAGCTTCCCAACCCAAATGCTGTTACTTGTCGAAACTTGTATTTGCTAGTATGATTTTCTACTGTTCGTCAGCAATGTATCCTGTACTTTTTCATGATATTTCCAAGAGAAAAAACGTCTGATTGGAGGTAACCTAAAACGTACGTATCTCTCAAATGCTGCAGATAGTTGTTCAAGATGGCGGTTCTGCTGGTAGTGACGGGACACGGACAGATGGGTAACACGGGGAACCCCACCGGCTGGTACCTGCCGGAAGTCGCGCATCCGTGGAAGGTCTTCACGGACGCCGGGCTCAAGGTCACCTTCGCCAGCCCCAAGGGCGGGAAGACGCCCGTGGTGAGTTACCAACTTACTCCTCTAATTACTAGTAGTTTGCATATTTTTCTCCTCCTGTGTTCAACCAGTCACGGCCAAACGGTGGCCGTGCCATTGCAGCCGCCATATTGATGTCTCTATCTGTATTTGTGTGAGTATACTAGTACACAACGTCCTTAATCCTTACTAATAATCAATATAGGTAGTCTTGGAGCTTCGTATCCTTCATGGTGGTTAATTTTGATCGATGGTGTCAGAAAATCTGTAAACGATCCAATGCAGATAGGCACACCAACATGGCATCATCGTCGAGTCAGCAGACGCATCGACATCACGTGCATTCGCTCTACACTGCACGCACATGGAAGCAGCACAAACATGTAACCCCTTCTTAACCTGCTATCTTCTTTCCCGACAGGACCCTTCCAGTGTGGAGGCGTTCAAGGCAGATCCGCTCTGTACGCAGTTCTTAGAGAACAAGGACGTCATGGCCCAGCTGGACAGTACTACGTCACTGGCTGATGTCAAACCAAGGTAACTTTTGTCTATGTATAACCTCATCTATAATTCTCAAACGCTGGGTTTGAAAGCATGGTTTGAAAGTATATATCGTAGCTGATCGCTATAAACCAAAGCACATAAATGAGTATGAGAATGTTTCAACAGCCGTCAGCAATTCCATGCCCTTGTTGTTGTCCTAGTGACTTCAAGGCCATTTCTTTGCCGGTGGCCATGGTACGATGTGGGACTTCCCTGATGACGTCAACCTGCAGAAAGTGACGGCAGCCGTGTACGAGCAGGGCGGGGTGGTGTCGGCCGTCTGCCATGGGCCGGCTGGTGAGGGGGTTTGTCAGAGATAACATTACATTTCAGAATTCCAAATTACTTCGGACAATTTGTGTTCCTTCTTAAGACTTGAGTGGAAAGTACCGGTACCAATATCCAAGAGATCCCTAAGCAGACCATAATAGCTGGCCATAGACTTACCGTTTGTAAGAGGCTTATTATCCGTAATGTTGTATAGCGGAAATATCTGTACTCCAGTGGATTTGAAAATAAAGTTGAATTAATGGTCTCAGACGTGTTTCCCCATGCAGCGCTGGTGAACGTGAAGCTGTCTGACGGCAGCTACCTGATCCAGGGCAAGAAGCTGACTGGTTTTACCAACAACGAGGAGACTGCCATCAAGCTGATGGAGGTCATGCCCTTCCCCATGGAGACCAAGCTTAGGGAGCGCGGCTGCGACTTCGTGGAGGCTCCGCTGTTTACAGAAAACGTGCAGGTACGATTCATGCATTTGATTCCCAACTACTTCCAACTCAAAGAGTACCAGTTAGATCCAGCGATGTGAGTACTGTTAGTCTGTGTGGTGGTGCCGCATAAATGGGGAGTCGTGCAATTTTCGTATTTCTAAAATGTTAGTTTGTTATTTACTTGTTTATCTATTGTTTTTTTTTTCCGTCTCAGGTGGCAGGTCGTCTTGTAACGGGACAGAACCCCGCTTCCGCCACAGCCACAGCAGCTGCCGTGGTCAAGATCATCAAGTGAACAGCGACGTTACGCGGGCTGCTTACGTACTGCACATAGAACGCACACGTCCTGCTCATGGAAAACATAAGATGTATGCTAGGCTTACTTGGTTAGTTAAAAGCAATCGTCAATTTTGATCATCATTGAATGGGGTAATGCCTCCTGCTTGAGAATCGGTTGCAAAATATCTTTGACGCTTCACATATATGTATGACGCTACCTTTGTCAATCCTCCTTTTAATCATGGCTTTCGTGTTAGACAAACATTCAGAATCCATGGCAAGCTAGATTGTTTGCTCAAATCGTTGGCGTTTGTACTGCTTAACTTGTTTTATAAATTTAAAAGGTGTTTCAGTTATGACATATGTAAAGGATTTTCGGAAATTAAACTTGCATGTAAACAGAGAAATCACACGCATAATGAATATACATTTACACTTGCATAGAGAACAGAATAAAGGCTCATTTCTGAGTAAGACACCCCATGTCTGTTACAATGCGGAATGAATGCGGAATGAACCATACACTGTTCTCTCCCTTTCCCTCGATCAATCTCTCTCGAGGCATACCTGCGGATGACCAGGGGTTCCTTAGGCTAGAATTTTACCGGGGTGGTGCGTGGCCTTTATGACCTAAAACAATGGACACGCGGTACTTGTTTGGTAAATTCCTTCCTGTGTAATCCAACTTATAAAGAAGTATATTTGCCCAAGTATCCAACACGTTGTCACAAGTGCTCAGTACTGCTGGGTCATACGGTGAATAGTAACGTGTCAAAGGTTACCCAACCGGTATGCATACCTGAATAGCGCCCACAGTACCGGCCACAGCCTGCGACGCGATAAGGTATCACTAGGGAAACACTACAGGTGAGAATCGGTCTGTCTTCAACCTCCTCTGATTCCAAGGTGGGTTATAAAGGTGTTAAATATTCCTTACTTTATCGGCAAAAGTTGCAACGTTAGGTCATGCGTGGGTCTAGGATATCCGATAGTGCCTGTATTCGGCGATAGACAAACAGAAGGGAATCCGACCTTGACTGATATGTAACCTCGCCGACCTGGGTTGACAGGTATGGTAGTATTAGATTTAGTCAAATAGAGAGAATAATTGACCAGGGGGGCTTGGTCAATTTCTAGTCTTTCCAGCGACCCAGTCTGGTAGAGACCAGCTTAGACCCGGGTTGACAAAAGCTTTTACCTGCCTAATGCAGCAGGGCTCGGCTGTGTAATACCTGTACAAGTACAAACCCAAACATGGGTCACTCGGTCGCACACAAAGTGATGAAAAAATTGGTCTTCGGTCCCAACATTTGCTTGAAGATCAGTAAACGCGAGCTCAGATTACGGTTGTGTATGTGGAACCCCTTTTAGGCGACCCCACGTCTTATTTCACCACGTGATCGATAGCCAACGGCGAGGCAACGTTCGGCCAACAAGGTCAAACATCATGATCACTGGTGTGGTAACAGGGCAAAGGTCAATCCATAGCGAAATGACTTTAAAGCAGACTCGACGGACAAGAAAACTGTAGTATAACCGAACTCCGAACCTATGTTGTACCTTATCCTAACTTGTGGACAGTTTTTTTAGAAAAACGGGAAACGTAGAGAATGGCGCAATCTGCCCCCTAATATCTGTATACAGTACCTAACACAACATCATGATGCTACTCGTTGAAAATTGTATTTGTTAGTTTATCACTTTATGTTCCTTTTTTTTTTTTTTTGCTTAAAGGTCACAACAAGTAATTTTATGGATGACATCAGCGCGCGCATTAAACTGTCCACAAGTTAGGATAAGTTACAACATAGGTTCGGAGTTCGGTTATACTACAGTTTTCTTGTCCGTCGAGTCTGCTTTAAAGTCATTTCGCTATGGATTTCGCGCCTGATTTAAAAAAAAAACAACTAGAATTCCGAGATCTCATACCTCCATGAAATATGATCTTGTTATGTAAATGTAAATTTCTTCTTTAATTGTGCAAATGACCTCTGCATTAACATGATATATGCATCGTGATGTATGTTAACTTTTGATTAACTTACAGATGTCCCAAGTATGACATTCTCATCATTCACCATTACGAAATCATAGAATTTTCGCATTAATTATGCAAATTAGGTCATCATTTGCATAATTAGTATCTGTTGAAGTTCCGCCTGCCATAGGTTACATACATTACATGTATGTAAGTATAATGTAAAACACTGTAATTATAGAATTTCCTCATTAATTATGCAAATAAACTCCTCATTTGCATAATTTGCATTTAATTATGTACATCTCTCTCTCAGCTACCTACACACCAAAAATAATGAAAATATGTTGTTCCTGTCTGGACTTATTGGCTTTTAAACATTTCGCCAGAAAGTGCCCTGCAGTTCCAGAACAAGCCGCTAGGGGGCCCAAACTCATGTGACTTCTTCCCAAGCATGAGAGCTACCTTCCATCAAAATTTTATGACCCTAGCATGTCCAGATCGCGAGATATCAAAACCGGAAGTTGCGCTGCAGTACCAAGGGAAGCCACTAGGGGGACCAAAATCTAATCATTTCCAGTTTTCGTCACACCCTACCAACACACCAAGTATGAAACCAATCCATCCAGGCGTTCTTGAGTTATCTTGTTGACCAACAGACGGACAGAAGGACAGACGGACAGACGGACAGATAAACGCAACTGAAAATATAACCTCCATGACACATTTCATGGAGGTAAATATAACCTCCATGACACATTTCATGGAGGTAACAAGAAATTTTCTTGCCCTTTGACACCCGGCACTGACAGTGGTCACCGAAAATGGGCAAAGATGTCTGTTGCCATGCCGGAACGTGGATGGCAGATAAATATGAAGAGAGGAGACAAGACAAGGCACTCATTTATTGTTTTGTCTTTTGCTTTGAAGCAATGATGCATTTTATATGCCATGTTCACTGAATCAAAACCATTTGTACAATTTGAAAACTTTTATCCTCCAGTGACAAATGCATGTTGTAATAGGTGGCAATAAACATAGCACAAAATAGGTATCATTTCTTGTTTAAGAAGGTTTATGATGTCAAAATTTGAAAATGTAGGAGCCTTGTTTTTTGGGGCCTGCCTTATTTTTTTTCGCCTTATCGCATTAGATTTGGAGTCTGCGGAGGATGTCATCCATGAAATTTACGTGCTTTTGCCTAAAATTACCAGGCTAGCTAGAGTTCGTCATCTCAGTGTTCTGCGTACTTTTTCACGGTTATTCAAATGAAAAAAAAACATTTCTCGAATGTTGTAGATAGTTATCCAAGATGGCGGTTCTGCTGGTAGTGACGGGACACGGACAGATGGGTAACACGGGGAACCCCACCGGCTGGTACCTGCCGGAAGTCGCGCATCCGTGGAAGGTCTTCACGGACGCCGGGCTCAAGGTCACCTTCGCCAGCCCCAAGGGCGGGAAGACGCCCGTGGTGAGTTACCAACTTACTCCTAGAAGTTTGCATATTTTCCCTCTTGTCTTGAACCAGTCCATATAGTCGGCCCAAAAATGGGGGTGGCTGTGCCATCAACGAACGTCTGTCCACCATATTGATGATATTGGTGTCTCTATCTGTATTTGTGGAAGGATACATGCAGCATACTTACACACAGCGTCCTGCACGCACATGACATGTAAGCAGCACAAACATGTAGCCCCTTCTTAACCTGCTATCTTCTTTCCCGTGACACCGACAGGACCCTTCCAGTGTGGAGGCGTTCAAGGCAGATCCGCTCTGTGCGCAGTTCTTAGAGAACAAGAACGTCATGGCCCAGCTGGACAGTACTACGTCACTGGCTGATGTCAAACCAAGGTAACTTTTGTCGCATATATAACCACGTTGTCATAACGTGTATTATAAGGCCATGTACATGTTCGCGTGTGTAAGGATAATACCTCATCTATAGTTTTCAAACGCTGGGTTTGAAAGCATGGTTTGATCTATATATCGTAGCTGATCGCTATAAACCAAAGCACATAAATGAGTATGAGAATGTTTCAACAGCCGTCAGCAATTCCATGCCCTTGTTGTTGTCCTAGTGACTTCAAGGCCATTTTCTTTGCCGGTGGCCATGGTACGATGTGGGACTTCCCTGATGACGTCAACCTGCAGAAAGTGACGGCAGCCGTGTACGAGCAGGGCGGGGTGGTGTCAGCCGTCTGCCATGGGCCGGCCGGTGAGGGGGTTTGTCAGAGATAAGATCAAGTTTAAGAATATCAAGCTTCTCTGGGCGGTTTCTTTGCCTTCCTAAGACTTCGAAGCAAAAAGCTTGTTGGTCAACAAAATCCAAGTAACCTCCAAGCAGATGTTAGTTTGATAACTCTTATGGCTTCCTGGCGTCTTAGCATGTCATAAAAACGGGGCAACGAGAAAAGTTACGATCTACCATTCTAACGCAAGCGTTCCCCATGCAGCGCTGGTGAACGTGAAGCTGTCTGACGGCAGCTACCTGATCCAGGGCAAGAAGCTGACTGGTTGGACCAACAACGAGGAGACTGCCGTCAAAATGATGGAGGTCATGCCCTTCCCCATGGAGACCAAGCTCAGGGAGCGCGGCTGCGACTTCGTGGAGGCTCCGCTGTTTACAGAAAACGTGCAGGTACGATTCATGCATTCGATTCCCAACTACTTCCAACTCAAAGAGTACTAGGATCTAGGGCTGTGCACCTAATAGCTGTGAGAACTGTTAGTGTTAGTCTGTGTGGTGGTGCCACATAAAAATACTTTTATGCTGTAAACAAAATATACATGTCATTCTGTAAATAGTAAATCTTTAAGTAGCCTGTGTATACAAGCTCTCGGCCGGAGGTTAATGATCCCCACCCCAAGGGGTGGGGGGCGGCAACCTAGGGCGGCGGCCGCCAGGAGCGCGATTTAGTCAGGCTAGCTAAGACTAGTCTGAATATACATAAAATTTTCGTATTTCTAAAACGTTCGTTCGTTTATTTATTTATTTATTTACTTGTTTGTTTGTTTATTTATTTATCAACTTGTTTATCTATTTCTATTTCCCCGTCTCAGGTGGCAGGTCGTCTTGTAACTGGACAGAACCCCGCTTCCGCCACAGCCACCGCAACGGCCTTGGTCAAGATCATCAAGTGAACAGCGACATTATGCGGGCTGCTCACGTACTGCACATAGGGCGCACACGCTAGCTCATGGATATCATAACATGTATGCTGGGCTTACTTGCATAGTTAAATGCGATGATCGACAGTTTTGGTGATATTATTAATTTGGGTTATATCTAGATCTCTTTCTTGAGAATCTGAAAATCTGATGTTTCACAGGTAACGCTGCCTGACGTTTCACAGTTCATGTAACGTTAGCTATCTCCATACACAGATATAACGCTACTTTAATATAAACAATGAACAATAAACTTTCGTCAATCCTAATCTTGCCTTTCGTGCATGTTAGACAAATATTTTGACCGTTTTCCAAGCTTTTCTCTACATTAAATCGTTACCGTCGGTCTGCACAAGATTATATATGGAATTGCAAACAAAGACATCACACATATATTGGGCACTATACACCTTAGTGCAAAGGTGGAGAACAGAAAGGCTCAATCAAAACTTAAGTAAGAGAGCCCATACCTGGTACAACCGGGTCTGACTTCTCTGTGAGGACAGGAATGTGGAATGTAACTCAACTTACTGAAATTCGAAGTCTGGATTTGTTTTCATCGTGACTTCCTTTTTGATACGGTCACATAAGATGGTGTTTTGGTGTCAACAATTACTGACCTACTTCCTACACCAAGAAAAACAGAAAACACCTTTGTGGCAATAGCCAAATATATCAAAGGTAGACCCTTGAGCCATTTTCCTCAGATATAAGTCGTCACACATGGCACAGATAGCCAATGTTTACCGGTGGCCTTTTCTTTTTGTGACTGCGATCTGCATCATGATTTTTGTCGTCACGGGCAAGGGTTATTTTCTACCGTACACAATATATAGGGATATGCGGTGGAATTGGGAATCCCGTATTCTCGTATTTCTGCCACATATATAGCTTCCCGCCAAATCCAGCTACTGACATGCAAGTAGCCGGTGTCGTCCCGTGCCGGTCTCACATTACACTTCCGTCTCCCACGACAGAGGTTGGGCCACTGACGACTTCGATGCCTTTCCTCCTAAAAACAACCATATCTCCGTTTCAGATAGTAACGTCTACAGACTACACTATTTACCCCGATATATATATATACGTGTACTGCAAATCTTCAGATGATCTCAGATGTTCGCAGCGGGGTTTTTTTCGCGGTGCTTTTGTGGTTTTTGAAGTCCTATTGCATTTCTGTCGAATGTTTTTTAGGGGGATTTTTTTCGCTACGTTTTCGTACTGGATTCAAATACTAGTATCATCCAGAGAACTAATTTTGTCTGGCCGCTAATTTGTAATCCCAAGGGAAACGGGAAAAGGGCAACGCCCTCCACCTCTGACGAGCTGTGTCCTGATTGGCCCGCGTCGCCGCCCTGCGTTCCCATTGACCTGGAAACGTCCCACCGGTGAGCCGAGCAGAACAACCGGAGCCCTCCCCTCTCACCGGTCGTTTTAGTCCTGAAAATTGGCGGTAAACCCGAGGTGTGAAACCGTATTACCTGTGTGGACTGCTTCTCGTGGACCGGACCGCAGACATGCCTGTTGCTAACCGCCTGTTGGTGAAGGGAGGGAGAGTGGTGAACGACGACTGCACCGTGGAAGCAGACGTGTACATTGAAGACGGAGTCATCGCTCAGGTAAGGCAAAAATGCACGGTGGGAGGGGCGCGTGTTAGATAGCCTAGATATCTAAAGGTCTTCTCTAACGTAGCCAGTGCTGAATATATATACACAGTTCTCGAAATACAGATCTCCTGCACAGGTTTCGTTCAGAGAGTGCCCACAGATTTGCCCGTTCCGATGATTATAGCTTGCTAAGCCTCCCGTCCAAACGGCCGTGTTACTCGGCGTTGTCTTACAACAATGCCAACAATGATGGCCGGGAAGACACGGTGACTCCACAGGGATCACTCGATCTCTCAGAACAAATTGTGAGGGGACAATAGTACTTAGTAGCGCCTTTGTCAGACACGCAACCCTTCCATTAGCAGCCAGGAAAACGTTATCATTTTCTCAGTAAAATTATCTTCCTTCTACGTCTGGTTAGGATCGTTACAACGTGTGGATCAGTACACTCGCACACAAACAATGGCAGCGTGTCACAGGTGGGATCCAGTACGACGGTTACATAGTAGTAATCTCATTGGGTCGATATAAAGCAGTAAGAATTGGGTGTCTGTAAAAAAGAAAGATGTATAGATTGGCCAAATAGGGAGAATAATTGGCAAACCCAAAATGAACCTCTATCCTATGACCGACAAATTCCTCTGGCGATTTATTATCCGTATTTGGTCTATTTATTTTTAATTTCAGCAACGCGAGGGGTCTGGTAGAGACTAGTAAATGGCACCGATCTTATAGAAAAGCTAAAGAGTAGCGACCCTCTTCATGAAGTGTATAACCGTGTTCGTCTCGGCCTTTCTCTCCATTGAAACACGATCGCGTGAAAATCAACTCAAGTCTGACGACAGTCCGCCCATATCATGATTCCTCTGGCTCGGGGTCAATAAATGCGCTAACCTAGGGTAACCTGGAGAGCAGGCTCCTCGGAGGGCATTTAGATACTGCTCTTTTCGCTGATTACGTACCGTTTTCTGATTGTTATTGTGTGAACGTTGTTGACAATAGGAGTTTCAGAACACGTCAGAATTCAGAACTGTTTAACACACAGCAGACGAAAAATGCCCACTGCGAAGCCTGCCAACAGAGGCTACATGGGTACACATTACTACACAAACGCACTCGGCAGTCGGGTTCACATCAACACGCTTGTCCTGAGAGGTCTGCCTCGTGTTACGATCCGCCCAGGGGTGTCTTAATCGCCGTGTTTGTCTACAAACTGCGGCCCGACCTGTCCATTAACCTGTTAAACCGCTGAAATAACTTGTCAAATCTAACACGAGGGGCGCTCAGGTACCCCAGGTAATTACAGACTTATCATAACACATCGGCTGTAAAGCCACAGTCTCATGAGCAACAGGCAGCTGTTAAACTCCGGAGATCTGGTACATACAAAATTGTCCTTGCTGTCGTGAAGTTGCATACGACGTATGTCACCATACCATTAGCAGTTGTTTGCTTGAGAATTGTATCATTTTTAGTGTAAGGAAGCTATATTCAAAACAATTGCCACTCAGCTCTCTCTGTGGTCGGTCTAGAAATAAGGATTGGTTTGTTGCCAAATACGCCCACATGCCACAGCCGCAATTTGGCGTTAGATAGGTTATTATGCCGACCCTTGTAGGGAATGCAGCCTTATATCGAGTTCCAGATGGTTGACTGACGATTGTATGTCGGCACGGACCCATGGCGCATACCGTGGGCTGGGGTTGTGTTGACTTGTGAAACACACTCGCTGACCCGCCCATACCTCCGACTTGTCGGGATCACACATATGGCATTTATCAACCGGCATGTAACTCCTACATACATTGTACTACAGTACAGTTTAATACTACAGCAATCACTCCAAGCCCATTTTGGAGAGGAAGATCATTACGTTTTCTGTCTGTCGTGCTTCTCTGACAGCCATCCAACATTGCCTGCCTTCTCAGAGAGTTGTTAATAATTTATTGTCTGACATTCCATTAACGATCATCCATCTTGTCGCAGGTGTATATTTTCTATACTTGTATTCGTAATGACAGCTACATTGTGTTATAAATATTTGTATTTGGCGTGAAGATTATGTTAATATATGTTGACTCTCGTGCTCTTCTATCATGTACCCAATTTTCTGAAGGGAAGGTGTGAAGAAAGTAATTTCACAGAACAAACATGAAATCCCCCCCCCCCCCAAGTACGTATGTTTACCTGTTGTCTATTCCCCTGACAGGTGGGGACGAAACTGGCCACCCCGGGGGGAGCTCGTGTTCTGGACGCCACAGGAAAACTGGTGCTTCCCGGGGGAGTCGACACCAACGTGCACTTCCAGGAGCCGGGGGCGGGATGTATCACTGCAGACGACTTCTACACAGGCACTAAGGTAACCATGGCAACTGACGCGTAACCATGACAACCACCACACGAACATAACAACCTACCACAATTATTACATATCCATGACAAGTTGACAACCACCATATTACTAGTACTATGACAACCAACATGTAACTATAACAACCGACCCGTTACCATAGTAACCGACACCTCATTGTCCCAGTCTCTTACACTAATCAATGCATTCTCAGTCTTTTTGACCTTGAAAGACTACTTACGATAGCTAAATTATTCATACATTCCCCTTTCAAATTCACAACGTGGAGTGACTTGCAGTATTACATGTTTCCATGGCTAAAAGCGATGTTCACTTACAGGCAACTAATTTTCGTTTTATTTTGGGGATGACTTAAAACCTCGTCAGTGCCCCAGTACTAGTATACATGTAGGCAGGATACATTCTTTCCTGGCCGCTTCCAGGCCGCTGGTGGGAGGGACAATCGCGGCGTTTTCTGATGGTGATACGGTCTGACCGCGGAAAGATTAGATTATCTCGCCCAGCCCAGCACACAGCAAATCTTGCACGTCAAGATAACAACTTCATTTACCAGATCTTCCCCCAGACTTGCTCACTGTTGGCATGTTGGCACGAGTTCTACCGTAGGTCAGGCGGCTCGTCTTGGGACTTCGCCCCGTGAAAGTCGGAAAGAAAATCACGGTGTAAAATGTCACTTTGTCACTAGGGCGGACACAATGGTAACGACTGTCCAGATAATGTCCAGATATTAAAGCGCATGGTTACCAAGTTCATCTGTTTCGGTGAAAGCACCGGGCTTTAAAACAAAGGACTCATTCAATGGTTAAAGTTATTTGGCAAACGGATTAAACTGTAAATTAAAACAATTTAAGGAAATTGGACATATATGAGTTAAATCCGTTTCCATATTTATCCAGGCAGGTCTGATGACTTGAATGGGCTAGCCGGCCCATTGACCAGAGTTCCGCCCTATTTGGCCGGTGTTTACCATTTTTCCCGCCACTAAAGGAACTTGACATCTGCTTTGAGACCGCTGCATGTCGCCACCGCTAAAACCTCGTGAATGAGTCTTTCTGTTCCCACGACCCGGACCCTGGGTCTGCAACTTCATTTCCATTCGGATCACGGCTAAGGGCGTGTCATGGGTCATAGGTCGAAATGTGAACGACCTGTTGACGTCCCGTCTTCCCGCTGAGAGACATTCATATCCGCCGGAGTCATTTCCTCAAGTTTGACATTTTCGCGCCCTTTCGATTGTGTATTCTCGAGATGGCATAGTATCTTTAGCAGGCTCCAGTGCTGTATAATGCGCTTTTTTCTGATATTGCTAACGTGCTATGATTTACGGACAAGTCGTGTCTGCAAACAAAAACGATCAGAACAGGGGAAATAAAAATTAAGGAAAACGAACGCAATCACCCGAAAAAAAGCGCACTATCGAAACGTACTTCCGTGAAGGTAGTCTAGTAAAGACTTGATACTTCCCTTCCACTGTTGATAAACGCCAAGTACAATAGCAGCACGTACTTCAGTTCACTGGGGCATGTGTAGGACATTGAGGTAAATATTATTGAAACAAGCAAAGCTTTAGCGCAGAGTTTATTTGCGAAGCAGTTGTATTTGTTAAGCTTAATGACGAGTTCTCAGCCTTTTTGTGGCCCTTTTACGGAGTCTGTGACCCGTGCTTCGGAAGGAATGGGACGGAACAAACGCTACCAGCCCATGGCAGACTTCCCTGGGCGCAGCCTTTATTCTCACTTGGCTGCCTGGCTGGCTGATCGGTGCGGCTGAATGTATCCCGCCTGGAGAAAGACAGAACAAGACAGGCTGCCAGGAAATTTACAGGCCTTTCAGTAATACGATATCAAAAGGCAATGGTCACTCGTATGGTTAACTTATCTAAAATTAGAATCTACCTCATCTCATCTCTCATCTTGTCTACCCCTTAGTCTACTTTTGACCGTCGGACATCACAGAAGATTTGACAACCACTTTTCCCCAGCCTCACTGCACTTCTTTCTTCGTGCCTCCCTGGACTGCCTTCCATGCAAGATACGTGATACTTTTGGCTAGGCCCGATGGCATACGGCTATTGTGTATTATTATCGCGGTTTCCGCAAATGCTTTTTGATCGTCTAAGATGCATTTGGCTGAAAGAGGAGCTTCCTCCTACCGCAGCTGCGCACAACGATCAGGTTTTGTTCTCTTTCCTTTCATTTCCTGTTGAACAGATGAATCGTTAGGAATAAAAGGCGGAATGGAGAGTTCAGAGGAACCGACATCATTCGCAGGGACAAACGCCTTTACGGGTTATTTTGGATCAACATGGGATCAAAATTAGTTCAGCTATATCGTAGTCTGATGACTCGGATCTATTTCTAACGCCCATTCATATCATCCTGGCAACAGCATGCTGGCTGAATAGACTATTTTATAAAAAAAGTAACAATAGATCCATTTTATATGCCTTTGTTGCTTTAAGTGGTTAGACACCCCCTCTCTTCAATCCCTCCTATATTTTTTATTACCTTTTATTTTGTTGATTTTTTAAATTTTTATTTATGGACCTTAAATGATGGAAGCGTATATGCCTCAATAGGCCACATGTGTACTGCTTTTGAAAATGTCGCCCAAACGTTTGTTGTGAAATCTGAATACTAGTAGTTCAGAGGCGACTTGTGAGACAAAGATCTGGCTTTTGTGGCTGCAACGGAAGCATTAGTGATGAATCCTGTGGATGAGACGGAAGAGAACACCTGCTTATGCAAATGAAGGGATGAAAGGTCCGGTTTATCAACTGTCTGCCCGCTCATCTGTGACACGATCTATTCAGACGTCTGTCACCTTTTGTGTGTGTGTTGTGTT